GACTCAAATGAATCATGTGGTGATGATGTTTTGAGCCCAAAACAAATATAAACTGCATTCACATCCCACTGCCAACCTGTTCTAAACTCAACACACATAAAATCTGAAATCAAGCCTTGAAGTCACATTCATCTAAGAGATCACAGATTTCTATAATATTTTTAAATAGTATTTTTAATATTTATTTTTTGTAGTTGTAGTTGAATACAATACCTTTATTTATTCATTCATTCATTCATTCATTTATTCATTCATTCATTTATTTTTTTTAAAGAGAGAGAGAGAGAGAGAATTTTAATATTTATTTTTCAGTTTTTGGCAGACACAACATCATTGTTTGTATGTGGTGCTGAGGATCGAACCCGGGCCGCACGCATACCAGGCGAGCGTGCTACCGCTTGAGCCACATCCCCAGCCCCACATTCATTTATTTTTATGTGGTGCTGATGATGGAACCCAGGGCCTTGCATGTGCGAGGTGAGCGCCCTACCACTGAGTAACAGCCACAGCCCCTTCTATGAATATTAATCATACTTTAAGTTTCTATAGTTGTCTTTATTTTATCCAAAACATCTTTAAGCATTTACTCTATCAATATAGCACAATTACAAAAGCTACTGACCTGAAAGGCAAATTTGGTCCACCAAAGAAGACACAATATTCCTTTAACTAGGATGTCACTCACTTTAAGTACTTGGGTTCTCCTAAAGTACTTGAGCTAATTCTGAACAAGGTTTGAGTTCAACTAGTTCCAAGAAAGTATATTCCCTTTGATAAAAACTGATGACAGATTAAAAGAAGCATAATTTGTGATGTAAACCTGGACCAAAAACAAAACTTGGAATAAGTTCTGATAATACCCTACAGTTTTCCAGATTTGTTCCTGTTGCTTATTTTTTTTTTTTTTTGCCTCAGTCACATTTGCCCTTTTATTTGAAAAACAATTATTACGCTGTTTGGGGAATAGCTATTTTCCGATACTATATATTCATATTTTACTAGTAATACCTTATACTTATCAACAAAACTTTACTATACATAAAAGGGTTTCCACCTATATAAATCACCATTACATAAATTCAGCTACTACTCTACTTCTTTGACCTCTATCATCAATATCAGTGCAGATCACCTGACATTACCAGACAAAATAGGGTTTTCATTTTCTGACACACGATGCCTTCTACAGTAAGCATTACCATTATGCCCAAGAGAACAGAAGACATACACTGTACCTAAGATCCCCCAAAGAACAGCTTCCTTGCTTCTGTGTTCTTCCTTTCCTACATTCCTGTTCTCACCATTAACCGACCTCACCTTCTTTCCATAATTATCATATAGATATGAAAAATAAATATTAATTAATTGTTTTGGGCACATTGTCATTTTAATTTTAAAAACTAAGAAGAAGGAATCATTAAATTTAATTTTCCTGGATCCAAATTAAAATCAATGAGTATCTGAAAGACTTTGTACTAATGGCCTGAGACACATTTCTACTCTTCTAGACCTGCTATCTAGTGGGGAAGGCAGACAAATACACAGAAATTCCAAATGGGATAGATAAGAAGGGGCAAGGACCACAAGGCAGAGGTATTTCAATGAGTCTTTACATTTTTTTAGAAGGGGAGAAAAGGGAAAGTTGGGGATGGAGGAAGAAGAAATCCTTCATCAAAGATGAATAGTACTATAATTTAATCAATTGGATTCCTACAACCAAGACTATCCTAAAAAGTAAAAATTGAGTTAATCATCTGAACAAGTTATAAAAAGAAAATAATATTTATATTCTTTCTCAAATATTTTAACATTATAAATGAAAAAAAAATCTCTTTTCCACCTCAAATGTAGAAATTATCTGGTTTAGAATTCAAAATATCTAACATAAGATATTAGCAACATAATAAGTTTTGTGTACTTGACAAGGTTTAATCCTTGCTATGAAAAAGAATAGAAAAATCAGTGGCTTACTTAGTATACTTGATACCTAGAGTAAACATTTTAAAAACCTCTTTCTCTATGACAAAATTATTTTTCAGTAATGATTATCACTTTCTTGATATGTTATTTAAAGCAATTAATAATTTTCAAAAGAATAATAAATTTAGAAGTTGTTCAGATTCAAATACTTCATGTATGAAATAAATTTGCATTAACCAACCTCACCTTCTCTCCATAATTATCATAATTGCAGTTCACACTTTTTCACCATAATTTTTTAAAATTTTTAAATTCAGAACTCCAAATGAACACATAAAATAATAGGAATTGAAGTGACACAATTTCTAGCTATTTGTCTTACAATCACTGTGTAATCACTTTAAATCTACTCTATTTATAAAGAACACAATGATGAGCTGCTGTTGTGGCTCAGCAGTAGAGTGCTAGCCTAGCCCATGTGAGGCCCCGGCACTACATATAAATAAACAAAATAAAGGTATTATGTCCACCTACAACTAAAAAAAAAAAATACAATGATTATTAAAGATAATATTTAAAGATGTTCTAATTTGAATTATATATATTGTTAAAACTCAACAATAGACACAATTGTTTAGAACTTAGAAAAATAAAAGAATTTTATTAAAAAACATTATGACTGATATTTAGAATTGCTAGTGCTTGGGAACAATTAAAAAAGCAGAGTTGACTTAGTTGGTTTTTATTATTATTCATAAATTTCTATACATGACAATGCACTTTCTCAATGATTACACCCAGGGCTGAATGCTTCCATCACTTCACCCTTGCGATGCATAGTTTTTAACTGGAAGTTAGAGAAAGCCACAAATCTACATGACAAATGTTTATTAGGTACAAGGCCAACTTTAAAAGGTTGCAACTGTGCACAAAGCCCCATGTATAGAAGGATGTCCCAGGCATGGATTTCAATGCTCTGTTCTCAGTCTTGAGATTCTTAATTTTACCTTTGAATTTGTATATTCCAGTGGGATAGGAAGCACCTGTATAGGCTCACATGCAGTCCTGCCTCCAGTGACTTCCTTAGACAGATTCTCAAACACCTTATCTGCCCAGGAATTCCTGCCATCCTCTTCTCCTGGGGGAGGCCTTGGCTAACCTCAGAGTAGATCAGGGCCATGGGGCAAGACCAAAAAGACCTGTGATAGTCTGTCTTCACCTCATAACTACCCATATACTCTAGGAAACATAATGTTAAATGGCAAATAAAAACAATATTTTCCAGGTCAAGAGACACTGTGGAAGTAAAAGAAAGTTTATTTTCTTTTTTCTTTCTCTTTTTAATATGAATGTTCTCATTTTCATCTGATACTAGGCCCCACAAATTATGCAACAATTTCTACTAATGTGGGTAAGTGTGCACACATGTGTCTGTGTTTGTATCTGTAAAGAACAAAATAACTATATTTTAGATAAAGTGGATTTATCTATAATTTATAAATTTATATATATATATATATATATATATATATATATATATATATATATATATATATATAACTGTATTTCTCTATAAAGGTGAGAATAATAATTTTAATACCTTACAGACCAGGCTTTCCAATACAATATTACCTCCTGCATTTCTTGTGACTGATGACTTGACTTGAAAAATATTTAAATAAGAATATTTTATATGTTAAAAATTGGAATAGTTTAACTTCAGACATTCTAGCAGGACATGATATTACTAATATGTGCTTTTTATTAACAAAATCTGCTTTACAACTCTGACTTCTTGATAGTCAAGAAAATTTTGGTCAGAAGCCAAAGTAGTCATCAAATATTAAGAACATGAAGATGCATCAAACGTGTTGAAGTGTCCTCAAAACTCATTAACTAATTTTAGCACATTTCAATTATTCATATAAAAATACTTATACTGAACAATTACAAATCTTTAATTTCATAACCAAAAAGTCATATCCTTTGTGACTAATAATTCTCAAAACACATCTTCATGAACCTTGAATTATGTCACTTAAAATAAGGCATACAAATTATTCCTAATATAACTCTATGGTCCTGTTTTTAAAAAGTTTTATGATTAATATATAGTAGTACCCCCTTATTTGCTGGGAATACATTCCAAGACCCACAGTGAATATCTGCAAATACAATACTGAAACTGTATTTACTGTATTTCCTCTACATATATACCTGTGATAAAGTATAATTTATGAACTAGGCATAGTATGAGATTAACTAATAATTAATGATGAAATCACCATAAAATATACTATAATTAAAGTTATTTAAAACTTACCATTTTTGGAAATTTCCATTTAATGTTTTCAGACTACAATTGACCATGAGTAAGTGAAACCACAGAAAGAGAAACCTTGGTTAAGGGAAGATAACTAACTATTCAGCAAACACTATATTCAATATTTTTGTGTTCATTTTGCAAATAGCACTGATAATTAATGGAAACAACATTTATAGACATTCCATAGATGGAGATACCTACATATAAAAGGAAACTAAAAAGATCTTGAAACAAATATTTTCCTAAATTTAGGCATCAATATTTTTGAGCATATAAAACTAAAAAGAACTCTCCAAACTCCATGGGCTAATTACACCTTCAAATATGGTTCATGGTCAATGCTCACTGCAGTATTGACTGTTATCCAATACTATCTAAATTCTGAACTCTAACGCCATTTTGTTATCCACCAACTTAATACTGAGCAATCTGCCACTTTCTTTATTTTCTTTTTATCCCCTAAATTAATGTACAGACTTAGTTTCTTTTCTCTTATCCTGACTCTTATTTAACTAATATTTAGATACGTCCACAAATAAAACAATCACATGTAAATGTCATTCTGATTCTGATTTCATCCCTAGAAAACTCCCAGGGTTACAGTTCCTTGTGACCAAACAAGCAAAATCTGCTTAGAAAGCCAACCCATGAAAATCACGTACTAATTCATAATTGATCATCTTCTGAAAGCATCTCTCAACATATACTCAAATAGGGAAATGGGGACAGGTATATAGACAAACTCGTCACCTACATTGTTCATGTACTCTGAAAGCAGGTCCTGAAGAGCCTGGCGAATGGCGTTACATTCTGCAATAATCCGCTCCCGGTGGAAATCCCTTGTACATGAAGAGTCTGCCAACAGAGCAGCCCCACTGATGATGGCTTCAAGGCGTTTTTCTAGTGATGGTCTTATTTCCTCTTCCGTCACTGTGAGTGGGTTCAGGACAATTAAATTCTAAGAGAAGAACAGAATTGGAAGGTTGGAACTCAATGGCATTCCATTTTCATGAAAAACAAATATTACTTTGCTTTCACATTTAGAATTCAGATGTAATAATAATGAAAAAAACTCCATTTTTGCTTGTTTACATGTAAGACTTTGCATCAATTATTTTTCAGATGAATGTGATGTGATGTGATGTGATGTGATTGTGAGCATTAGTTCTAATGTCAAACAGGCCTGGATTCAAATCATGCCTTTCTCACTCACCAACGTGTCTTGTGCTCTCTGAGCCTCAACTTCCATGTCTGTAAAACTGTAATATTAACATTGTTTGCATCATAAACTGTCAGATGAATGACAATAATGCTTCATACAATGGCACATAGGCACATATTGACTGTTATTATAGCCATAACATTTTAGGTGGCACTAACAGTATTTTCATATATATCATCTCATCTTGATCACACTCTGAGGTGGTGGGCAGCAAAGGCATTATTAGTTACACATTTCAGGTGACAATGAGTGAAGCTGAGGTCACAGAGCAAATAAACTGTGTGAAGTTCAGACAAGTTCTTATAATACCTAAATCAATATTATTTTCATTATGCTTCACTGTAAGTCATAAACTCTAATTAACTTTACCACTAACATATCAAAGAAAATTCTGAATTTTAATTATTCATTTAAAATGTAAAACTCCATCTTCCAGTTGATCTATTATAACTTCCAGCTGTTTTCAGCTATTGGAACTTGACATGGTATTTTTAAGGTAATATAAATATACGTCTTTAGATAACAGAAGTCATGATAATCTATAGCCTATGAAGAAAAGTTCAAGGGTAAGCTACTATAGGGTTCTGCATTAAACTACATCAAGAGAGAAATCTTTCCCAACGTGAGGTCTAAGTGGTAACTAAAAAAAGAGTATAAAATACTCTTTCTTCAGTTCTTCAGTTCTCTGAAGAACTCAATATAAAATGAAATTATATAATAATCTTCATAGTGTAAGACTCAGTATGCATCTATAGACACACACAGTGAAGTCATTATGATATTTTCAAAGTATATAATCTTATAAGATCATATACACTATAGTATATATTAGAGAATTACATGTGTATGTAAATATATGTTTGTATGTATACACATACAATCATATTTATTGCTATACATTTCATTGTTATAAATATGTAGAGTCAAACTAGGATATAATTTGAAAAGCTACAACTATAGAACCAAGCTATGAAGAGAAAAATAATTTCAGACAGAAAAATAATTTTAAAACATTTTGAGAAAAAAAGAAGTGTTAGTACTGTGTAATGTTATATAAGACATAAAATATAAACTAGGTTATAGATCTGATAACAATATTGGCTACATTTTATTTATTTATGCTTGGGATTGAACCCAGAGGCACTTGACCACTGAACTACATCCCTAGTTCTTTTTTATTTTTTGAGACAGGGCTTCACTAAGTTGATGAGGACCTTGCTAAGTTGCTGAGGCTGGTCTTGAATTTGTAATCCTCCTGCCTCAGCCTCTGGAGTCACTGGGATTAGAGGTATGCACCATCACACCCAGCTTGGCTAAATATTTTTAAAGCATTCAGGCAAATTCTTCCTTTCTTGGCCCTACTTCCTTCCTAATTTTTTTACTGCTCAATTGAGTCTCTTGTTTTTCCTCCTTTATATCAACCAACAAATTAAAAATAACATGAAAGAAAATTGATTTTTAAAAGAGTCAAATTTAACTTCTTTCTCTTTCCAGTGAATGTTTTTGTTGAAACCATAATCCCAACCAAAGTTTCATTATTCTGAATCTACCTTCATATTTAATTTGCCACTTTTGCTCAAACACAGAAAGTGATAGTAACTGTTAATATGTCTATGGATTTGTGATGATAGGACAAGTTGATCAAAGTTCAAATCTGTTCCTCTCTAACTACTGCAAGAAAAAAAAACTAGTAAGTTTAGATGTTCTGACTGTGATTTCTACTTAGAAAACAGCCTGCATCACAGGATTAAGTTCACTTTAGTTCCTGTTCAACAATGTCATTCTTCAAACTATCCCAGCCTTTGGATTTTTGCCTGCTTAACTTAAATTTAAGAGTTCAAATTCTTCAAGCCCATTTGAACCCAAACCATTACTCTGATATCTGACACATATATGTAGACCCCTCAATTCTGCCTAAAACTGTTGTCTTACTCTTCATATACTAGATAAGTTTTAACTAACCTATCGTTAGATCAGGAAAAAATAATTTTTTTAAGTAACTTGAATGTTCTGTGAAATATCTTTGAGTTTGTTAGAAACCAAATGAAATAAATAATCTCTTCTGATCTAGAACAGCTATATTTTAAACAGCCTTTTATTATGTTTTCACAGCATTAAATTAATGAAAGATAAACAATGCTATATTTTGGGGATCCCACATTGTTGAACATACAAAATAGTTTTTCCTTTCCAAGGTTGTGTCCAATATATACACACTCCCTAATACTTGCTGACAGAACATTATTTCTTCAAAAAAGAGTTCGAACTCCATATTATTTTATTGGATTGCTATATTTTACAAGGCAGCATAGCTTAAGAATTAAGAGCCTAGGTCCTGGTAGCAGATAACATGGGCTTTATTCCTGTCCCATTAGCTATGAATAAAGTTATCCTCAGAGTTGAACAGCTATTATGGAAAATAGAATATGGAAAACATATGTTAAAAACTTAAAAAATAGAACTACCATATGATCCAGCAATCTAAATACTGGGTATATGTACAAAGAAAAGGAAATCAGTATATCAATGAATTATCTCATTGCAGTCCCATGATTATTGAAGCAATATTCACAATAGCCAAGATATAAAGTCAACTTAATGTCTTAAGTTTCTTTATCCAGATGAATGGAAAAAGAAAATGTGATATAATGAAAAGCTATTAATTCTTAAAAAAAAAAACAGAAAGAAATCATGTCTGTCATTGTAACAACATGTATGAACCTGAAAGATATTATTAAATGAAAGAAGCCAAGTACAGAAAGATAAACACCATGTGATCTCACTTATATGTAGAATCTAAAAGGTTTAACTCATAGAAACAGAGAGCAGAGTAACAGTTACCAGGGGTTAGATGACTGAGGAGATACTGGTCAAAGAAATCAAAATTTCAGTTCAACGGGAGGGACAGTTCAAGAACTCTATTGTACAACATGATGAATATAGCTAAAAACAATGTACTGCACACCTTAAAATTGCTAAGAGTGTAAATTTGAAGTGTTCACACTACAAAAAAAGGTGAGTTAATGTATATGCTAATTTGTTTCATGTGAATGTTTCAATGCATCATGTTCTACACTAAAAATACACTAAAGTTTTTAAGAAGAGTTTGGAGATAATTTTTTTTTATGATGCTAAGGATTGAACCCAGGGCCTTGTACATACAAGGCAAGCACTCTACCAACTGAGCCATATCCTCAGTCCTGGAGATAATCTTATCTAGATATTGTTTTATAAAGTCTACCTGAACAGACATCAGGGTGTGTGACTTAGAGCTAGAAGCAGAGAGCCTAACACCTGAAAACGAACCAAAAAGGGATGAAATTCTACCCCAAACTGAAGAAAACTGCTTGAAAGGTAGAGAAAGGTATGAAATCAGAATATTTATCCATTGGACAGGAGTACAGAAAAATCAGACACTATTAAAGAATTATTAAAATTAAATATAAAATCAACAGCACACTCAAAGATAGTTTAAAATATAAAAGATGTATACCACCCACAGATTGGAAGTGTGATAATAGTAATATAGGGAATGACTTAAAATATATTAAATGTTTTAATAAAGAAATTGTAGTTTAGGTATAGTTGATCATATTTCTTTTATTTATAGCCTGGAGACTATCTTTCATAAAAAAAAGTTACAAGTAAGGTTATTTTAACCAATATTAGTTATGGTGAAAGGAAAAGATTTTAGAAACACAAATAACTGCTAACCTTTGAAAAGATTGAGATCATGGCTCTATATGTATTTGGAAATGAACAAAATGAGATGTCCGTATATATAATTACTTTAAAACATTGCCAAAATATACTATAGAATAAAAAACAAGGTGGCAAGATGATAAATATACAGTGACATCATATATGTTTAATAAAAACAAGTATACAACAATATTTTAGGTTTTTCTTTGGTCACATAAATGTGTGGGAGTGCTTAAGAAAAGATTTAAAGAAAAACCAATGCCATAGCAATTGTATTTGGGGGAAGAGAATAAGAAAAGAAACCAGATTGGAGCAGTGGTCAAAGTTTTAATTTTTAAGTAATGACAATTTTATATTACTTATGAAAGCACAAACTAATTAAAATTTAAAATTCTTAAATTTTCAAAAAGAAAATAATAATTATGGATCAACATTTAGTTTTTTGGATTCTATCTGGTAATCAACTAATTATTTTGAAATCATAATAGGAAAATGCTTTACTATTTACTGGAATGAATGTGTGATATTAAGTCTTTTATATTAATTAGTTAAAAGGATTTTAATTTTGCTATGTTGATTTCACTATTACAAAACATTTGGTTATTTTCTACTTTAAAAATTAAAGAGAGACTCAACATGGCGGCAGGTGGGGAGGCAGTGCTTTCAGTACCTCCTCAACCACGTGGACAGAGAGACGCATTAGAACGTTTAGATTCTACCTGCTGAGAAACTCCCAACAAAATTCTGCTAAAGTGAGACCTGCTGGGGAAATTGGGATTATTGGAGTGACAGCTTGCCCCAGACGGGTGAATTTCGGCCATGCTGCGCAGAGGTCTGGGCCGCTCAGCGCCGGGGCCGCTGCCTGGCGACCAGCACAGCAGGAGACGGTTCAGCACTGTGCGGCAGCGGAGAGACCCTATGAAGAGGTTGCTAACCAAGCCTTCATGAAAAAGCGAACCAGAACTGAATCTGAGACTGGGACAGACCAGAGACAGGCCAGACCCACCCCTCCCATCAGACACTCTGGCAAGGAG